CGCTGAGAACGTATTTAGGCGGAAAAGTGGTTCCCTGCGCTTGTTGCATTTTGCTGCTGGACGCTGTAGCTATAATGAAAGAAAGCCTGTTTTCTTCGCTTTATTTGTGCCTCACTGGTCTTCTTGTTTGTTTGTGGTTGTTGGGGGAAATTAGCGCCGGATACGGTCACTGCTTGCAAGACGAACCGGAAACGAATCTCGTGGCGAAGGCGATGCGCCGGCCGACTGCGAGGAGCCCCGGCGAGGCCTTCGACCAGGACAAGCAGTGCGAGCTGGTGTTCGGAGAGGGCGCTAAGATCTGCACCTACATGGTGAGTTTTTCCCGCTGTGGTAGGACTTCCCCTAGTGTGCACGGGCGTTACTTTGAACGCAAGACTCTCTTCAGTCTCACACAGGTGTCGCTCTGCAAAGTATCTGCGCATGACCGCACTACAGTATAGACTATAGAGTGCAGTATTATTTGAAACAGTTGGCAGATCCTAATTAACTTTTTTTTCGGCTGATATTTTTTGGGATCTTTCTAACTTCGTTACTAGGATGCTTTTTTTTAATCTCGCAGAATTTCAAAGAGGTGTTATCCGAACCGAAGCAATGTTCCATGTAAAAGCTTTATACGAAGTGGATATGTACATGGGGTATATGGATACAGGTGGACTTCGTGTGCAACTAAATTCAAGGACTAGAAAAACTTGGTTGTAGGCAGAATTTTAATGTAGAGAACACCTGTAACATGAGGAGTGAACCATTGGGGACCAAAAAATATTCGTTATACAGTGAAAATCAATGGACACAAGAGTCTTCGTAGAGAGAGCGTGCCTGAATGTACTGTATATAATACCGTAATTGGAGGGTCTAAATTAATTTTATTATTTTGTGTTATTATTTTGGGCTTTCTGAATTTTTTCTAAATTTTAGGATAATTCTTATTGGCCGAAATGAAATAAAAACTTTCTGTTGAAGAATGGTCCAGAAGTTTAAATAAAGTACAGTACTGTACTGTATTCTGTGCAGTGTGTTTAAAATGTGAAAAAAGTGACCTGCCAGACATGGTAATTTTTTCAGATGCGTAGTAATATTTTCTATGGTTCTTCTTGCAATTTTCAAGCAACATGATGCAAAATGTTACCGTGTACAGGTGTACTGCACCCGGAACTCGTCAGTCACTGGGCTTCATGAAATCAACTCCCCCCTTTTGCCTTCATTAAAAAATGTATTAAAAAAAGGAAAAGAAAGCTGCATCCTTTCAGAGACTCTTGAATTGGCTATTCATGTTCGTGGCTTTTCGTCGGGAGCTCAATTATAAATGCAGCAGTGTATTTTCACGAGTTGAAGAACCTCGTGGTGCGGTTTTTTGTGAGCCAGTAAACACCGTCAACCGCGACGGCTTCCGGCCAGCCGTTCATCTTGAAAAACGGAAGGAACATCTGATACAGCACTGGACATTTAATCAACTGTTTCCGACTGGACACGTCGGCTAAATTCAACAGCTCCGTTTTCTTATTATATTCCTCCATTTATTTTCAGGATTATTAAATTTTTTCAAATTGAGACTTGGGATTCTAACACTTTATGAAACTGTACTCTCTCAAGCACTGTATCAGAGGACCAGAATAAAGTACATTACTCATCCTTAAAGGTTTTTTTTTTAATTGTTTAGTCAATAAAAAATTATCAGGGAGAAGACTGAACATCTTAATGCGCTTCGATTTGGGCTCAGTAATTTCCTCGTTTGGTGTTTTTCGCCATTCTTGGAAAAAAAGATGGAAATTAATTTTCCATGCATTTTTATGCACTGTGATATTCAGTATTTTCTTTTAATCCACAAACTATTTTCAATTTGCTGGGTTTTCTTTGAATGGGTGTGTGGGAATGTGGGGGAGGTATTTTCTGTATTTTGAATTGAATGTTGATAAGCTGTAAATGAAGCTTGATATGAATCAAGCAATCAAATGACAATCGTATTTAAGTTCAATTCTTGAAAAGTTTTGAGCAATGTGGAGGAAATCATTTTCAAGCGTAAAGTAGTGCCATGCAGCAGTGAAATTTCAAAATAATGCAGCAATTTATCCCTCGAAGGCTGAATTGAAATGAATGAACTTGTTCAACTGAACTAGAGTCAGCAAATTTTCGCCTCTTTGTTTTTGTTTTGAAGTTCAGTGTTTTCAAATAATGTGAAGAATTTTTAAATGCCTTTTCGTGTTATTTACAGATGGATATTTTCCAGCAAGATTAAGCTTCAAGACAGATTATATGTATCTTGACACCGCGTCAATAAGCTTATTTTTCGAACTTCGAAAATGCTTTTTCGGTAAATATTCAACGACCGCGTCTGCTGTAAAATTAACAATAGCCAAATTTTCCTTTTAAAAACGGTGGTATGATTTCAAACTGGTTCAGCAAACGTCATTTGTTTCCACACTGCAGTACTCTTTTGTACTGTTCGTTCACTGTGCGAAAATCTTTCCTTCCTCCGAAGAGAAACGGCTTTTTTTTCTACGATATTCGCTGTATAACAATTATTAAGGTGAGTACCCTAAGAAGGGAGTACAAGTCCCCATGAAACGATGTCATAAGAAAAATTTTAGTTACAAATCGTCTGAGCGAGTTGTTGTTAGAGTGGACTTTTTGAATAAGACTAACATTCGGGTAAAAAGTTCATGTTCCAAAAGGTTCTCTCCCCATATTATAGAGATGCTCTGAAACAAATTTTTGGTGAACTCACTCAACAACAATCTTGTCCACAACAATTTTGTCTCTACTTGTGAATTTATATTTTCAAGGTCCTATGGGTTTCTCTCCCCATTTTATAGGACATATACAGGTGGTATCTTGCAATTTACCCTAATCCATTATCACCAAAATATGATCAAATTCCAAAGCAGTTGAATTGCGGGACACTGTGAAATTCAAAAATGCAGAAAAAGAGTGACTAAAGCAGGACAAATTTCAGGGCAAGGGCCAAATTGCAAATAAACATCCCTGCAAATTCAACCATTGAATTGCAGGATGGTCACATTGTGAGGTACTGCCTATATTGGTTCTCTGCAATGAACTTCTCTGTACAGTGAGACCCCAAAATGTGGACGTAATTGGTGCATCAAGAGTGTCCCAAAGTTGAAATGTCCCTAAGTTGAAACTCCCTTAGACTTACATCATATGACTTTTAATTGATGTTTTCTGTACAAAATACTCCCCATAATTCCATGAAAATAAAAATTTTCTCCCACTTTAAACATGGGCATTTGGGGAATTGAATGCTGATACCTCTGTACAGTACATAGAAATATTGGCTTTAAAAATAATATTCAAGTGAAAAAGAGTGAAGGTAGGCCCTCTCTGCTGGAGGAATTTTTTTTTTTAATTAGCTAAATGGATGATAAATTGGTGAGAGAAATACCCAAGAACTTTTCTTAAAGCAATTTTAGGGTTGGAAATATCTGTTTCTTGTAATTTGGCCTGAAATGTATTTGCCATTTTATAAAAAAATTTCCCTATGTCAAGTCAGTGAACTCATGTTGGGCCTATTTTATTAATTTTTTATGGGAAAATAAGTGTTCCTATGTCAAATTGTCTGCAGGGTGAGGTGCCCTTATGTCTTACTGTACTGAGGTCTTACTGTACAAGGATTTTTCTGGTTCCTTGTCTCATGGGATTCTTCCCTCATGTTCAGGGGTACTTTGCTACAGTATTCTTTTTAAAATCAATGTTTAGCAGACTCGCTCAACAACAATCTCACCTGAAAAACTTATTCTGATTGTAAGCCCATTTTTTTTCATGTTCCAAAAGGTTCTCTCCCCATATTCTAGAGATGCTCTAAAACAAATTTTTGGTGAACTTACTCAACAACAATCTTGTCCACAACAATTTTTTCTCTACTTGTGAATGCATATTTTCAAGGTCCTATGAGTTTCTCTCCCCATTTTATAGGACATATACAGGAGGTATTTTGCAATTTACCCTAATCCATTATCACCAAAATATGATCAAATTCCAAAGCAGTTGAATGCAAGACACTGTGAAATTCAAAAATGCAGAAAAAGAGTGACTAAAGCAGGAAAAATTTCAGGGCAAGGGCCAAATTGCAAATAAACATCCCTGCAAATTCAACCATTGAATTGCAGGATGGTCAAATTGTGAGGTACTGCCTATATTGGTTCTCTGCAATGAAATTCTCTGTACAGTGAGACCCCAAGATGTGGACGTAATTGGTGCATCAAGAGTGTCCCTAAGTCAATATGTCCCTAAGTTGAGTCTCATTTTCCCTTAAACTTACATTATACAAGTTCTAATTGGTGTTTTCTGTACAAAATACTCACCATAATTCCATTAAAATAAAAAATTATCTCCCAATTTGAGCTGATTCCTATGAATATATTTATATATTTTACCACAATATGGGCATTTGGGGAATTGAATACTGATACCTCTGTACAGTACATATAAATGCTGGCTGTAAAAATAATATTCAAGTGAAAAAGAGAGAAGGAACCCCCTCTCTGAATGGAGGAAATTTTTTTAATTAGCTAAATTGATGATAAATTGGCAAGAGAAATACCCAAGAACTTTTCTTACAACAATTTTAGGGTTGGAAATATCTCTTTCTTGTAATTTGGCCCGAAATGTATTTGTTATCTCATTAAAAAATGTCCCTATGTTGAGTCAGTGTCCTCATCTTGGGCCTATTTTATTAATTTTTTATGGGAAAATAAGTGTTCCTATGTCAAATTGTCTGCAGGGTGAGGTGCCCTTATGTCTTACTGTACTGAGGTCTTACTGTACAAGGATTTTTCTGGTTCCTTGGATTTCATTACAGAAAGAGGTCGCCCCTGCATTGAGGGATACATTTTGACAAATAATTCGTTGTGCAAGATGGCACTCCTTGTGTGTATTGATATTTGGGGGGGGGGGGTGTTGTCACTGTGCTGGCCATATTCTTTTCCCATGGAAGAAAAACAAATTAGTGCATTATTCGTCAACTCTTTTCTTGGTGTTGTTTTGAGTATAGCCGGTGTGCAAGAGGTTGTGGTGCACGACGGGCAAGGGCGAGCACGAGGGGTGTCGGACGCAACACATGCCCTGGGCCGAGGGGACCAAGTGTGGGGCCGGGATGTGGTGCAAACGCGGGGAGTGCATCCGGAAGAACGAGGACGTGAAGCCCGTGCATGGGAGCTGGGGACCTTGGATGCCGTGAGTTCATTATATAGTCACCACTTGAATCCCTGTCCTAGCAGCACCAAAGAACGAACCATGCCCCCCACACACCACACCACACCCCAGTACCCCACCCCTCGCTGGTATTATACCTGCATGCTGGACATAACGTGCACCAATCTGCTGGGTATACTCTACTACAGTCAATCCTCAATTTAGTGTCCCCCAATTTAGTGACACACTTGCATAGTGTTGTAAATTTGCTTGGTTCAAGTCTCCCTCCATTATGCTCCTAGGCCTAGGGGATTTATTGCAAACTCACTTAATTCCACAAAAAGAATATTTGTTGTGTTCGAAAAATGATCAGAAACAGAAGTAAATGCGGTATATTTTAGAAGTCTTCATTGGGTGATAACACTTATAACTTAGAAACACGTCCCCATTCTCTCATGAAACTCAGGATAATTGGTTACAGTCTAGTTTCGAATTTGAATTATAAAATTATTCTTTTTTCAGAGCACTCTCCTTCATTGAAAATATGAAAAAAAAAGTTTCTTTGGAGACATTTGTCACTCCGTTATGATTGCTCTTCATATAAAACTAACTTGAATGAACAGATAATTTTGAGGAACAGCTGTAATCTTTTACTATTCGTCATATGTTTAAACATCTAATCTAATTAAACCTCAATGACTCAAGCCTCCCTGAGTCAAATACATCCGTAATTCAAATTTGTGTCAAGTCCCTGTCTGAATCCTGTAAGAACAATGCATTAAAAACCTCGCTGATTCAATAAAGGCATTTCCTCTAAAACCTACATAATTCAAATTTCCTGAAGCTTTTTGGGTATTATTTTCTTGACTTAGGAAAGAGAAAAGGAATAAGAATGGAATTTCATGCCTTCTGAAGGGAATTAAAAGACTAAATTTGACAAATGAACCCTTGCCTCTAAGTTCAGCATCCTTTCAAATCAGTTAAGAAATAATTTAAGAACCAGAATATCACCAGTTATAATTTCATGCAAATCTTTTATGTTTCCCACAAAAAATGCTTGATTCTGTAAGTCAAATCTCCATAACAAGTAACCTACCTCAGTTGAAACCTCCCCAAGTCAATTTTTTTGGCTGGTCCCTTCAAATTTGACTTAGAGGGTTTGACTGTACATTCTGCCATTGCACATTATACTTTGAAATAAAGCATGAAAAAGTGTCTTTGAGCTTCAAAATACTGTATTTATTTGACGGTATGTACTGTATACAGTATTATAAGCCACTGTACTTCACAAGCATAGGTATGTATAAATGTAAGAAATGTGGCCTCATTGAGAGGCAACATTTCTGGTTGCTCTTTTTTCTCTGTAAGCCCATGATGGACAAATATCTCTGTATAGGAGATGTTAACGCTTCTACGAACGCCTGCGTATTTTTTTTTTTTCAGTCTGATCGGACAATTTAAAGGAGGGCTCCTGTACTATCAGTTCATCACAAACCATAACTCAGTTATAAATGTACCATACGAACCGGCTTTTATCTCAAAATTCAAGTTCCGACTTGCAAAACTTTGAATGGTATTCGTTTTTGGTGCATAATAGAGAACCGAACTGTTTGCGACTGAATAATTTTTCGTTTTCATATATAGAAGGCCTATTGATTTATGAAAGTCCACGCTGGGAATTTCTGATGAAAGTTGGGAATTTTTCCATTTTACAAATTCAAATTTGTTAATCTTTGATCGATACCGTGTATGCTTTTTATACTCGTGATTTTCATTTTGTTTTCGGAGGCTTTCAAACTTCATTATTTGGAAAGGATTTATTTTATTTCCTCAACTCGTTTCAAGAACTAAATTTTTGATTTTTTTTCTGCAAGAATATATTCATGGAATGTCATAGTCCTGATTTTTACGCGGGATAATCGCTGCCTTCGTCTTATAGAAAATTGTTTCTGAATTGAAAAAAAAAATAGGTGTAAACTTATTTTTCAAAAATTCTTATTTTGAAGGCAACCAAAAACGGACAACTTTTTCGTTCAGGTAAAACGAATGAGAGTTGCGCGTTTATTTTCATCCAGACTTTTTTTTTAGACGTATTCACACATCCGTCCGATCCCCATGCCCTTCAATTTTTCTACCTTCTGCTGAGCACATCCCGGGTATGAATGACGGTTGTACCCATAGGCACCACCTACACTGCGCCTGAGAGTTTCTGAGGCACTATTTTGATAATTATTTTTTCTGAAGATTTTATGATGATATATCCAATAGATTTATCGAAGGAGAATATTTTCGTGTTATTCAGACTTGAAATCATGGTTTTGAAGATGACAACGAAAAAAAAACGCTAATTTTCAAGAAATCTTTATTTCACTGAACGCTCCGATACGCACCAGCAGAGGTTTGAAAATAGTTTCCGACTAAATTCCATTGAATTTGCCTTCTTTTCGGAGTTTTTTTGCATGAATGGATGTTTCCCGTAAGATTAAGGTTCAAAGAAGATTTCATTTATCGTGGCATTACGCTGGAACTTATTTTTCGAACTTTGAAAATGTTATTTCGAGTGATGAAGATGAACTCCTTCTACAACGAACTTGTCTACAACGATTTTCTCTCGATAACGATTATTTTCTCCTGAAGTTTCGCTAACGAGAGCTTTCACCTGTATGCGAGGACCGCGTCTGCTGTAAAATTAAAAATATACTGGTTTTCTTTTTAAAGGAAGGTGAATGTATTTGAAAAAAGTGCTAATTTAATGCTGACACTTATTCGCTGGAATTCGTGCATTTACAGTTGAACCTCTCTAAGTCAAACTTCAACGGACCAGCAAAGAAATTCTACTTGGGGAGGTTTTTAATTCATGTACAATAAAAAGCCCTTTTGTGTTGGGATTTTTGGGAAACATATAAAAATTGCTCAAAATTGTAAATTTTAATCTTTTGAGGCTGAAATTACTTCTTAAATGAGTTGAAAGCATCTTGAACTTGGAGGCAGGGCTCATTTGCCCAATTAAGTCTCTCACCTCATTTTAAAACAAATCAATTTATGCTTTATTGCATTTTTCTTTCCTGTGTCAAGGAAATAAAAGCCAACAGGCCACAGAAAATTCAACCTATGGAGGTTTGAGGGAAAAAGCCGTCAACTTGTGGAGGTTTTCATTAGTTCTAAGGGGATTCAGACAGGACCTGAAAAAGATTCGACTTAGGGGGTTTTTGACTTAGGGAGGTTCGAGTTATCGAGGTTCAACTGTATCTTCAGGACAATATCAGTATGGGACACACAATTGGTCATTTTTAAGAAATTCTTTGTCGGGTCTTTTGGGAAGTGGGGACCCCTGGTGTTTCTTTTCTTTCTTTCTTTTTTGTATCCGTTGGTTGTCATTCTTCCATTTACAGTGTGTCGGGTGCCTTTTCTGGAGGATCCTGTTCATACATCATTCGATGTCCTTCCCCCTCCCCAGGTGTTCAAACTCGCTTTTTTTTCGGGGTCATTGACGATCACGGGCTTTATGTCTTGCCGCATAGTCTCCCTACTTTTCCCACGAAGAAAAGCCTAGTCATATAATTATACTCTGCTGGGGCCTCTGAGGGGAAATTATGCGAGCAGTCCTATTCTTTCTTCCGAGCATTGAACCGATTCTGCTGGTGCAGCCAACAGCAAAAAAAAAAAAAAAAAAAAAAAAAAAAAAAAAAAAAATGTTAAAAATTATCGTTTTTTTTTTTTTTCATTTTGTCAGTATAGGAAACGGTTGGGCGGGTTTGATTCTTCAGCCAGGAATGCGGAAACTGTTATTCGATCGGAAATTTAAAGCTGCTCGATCGCTTATAGATTTTGGTGAACTATAAACGTTTTTTTTTTGGGAAAACATTTCTTTTCATTCAAACAGAGCCTTCTTGAATGGGAAATTAACGAGCACTTCGGTTCTGCTGATGCGTTCTTATCACGAAAGGCACAACCAATTCTAAAATTGCACGCATGCTGTCTTTCATTTTTTATTTATAATTTAAAACAAAGAATCCAGTGGGTTTTTGTCCTTCTGGACTAAAGTTTCTCGTTTCATCACGCCGACGTCAACTTGGTATTAGAAATAGTTTTTTTTGAATTACGAATCATTTTATTTAAAGAAAAATTCACAAATCCAAGCTATAAATCTGAAAGAATGTTATAAAAGCACCGGAGTCGAGATCTTATGAACCATTCTTGCCCTGAATGTCCACTTGAATCTAACCTATTATTATTGTTTCTTGAAAAATATTAAAGTATCCTGAATTGCGACCTCATGATGTCAATCAAGATTATTATTTGCGCGCAGATTAGCACTTAAAAGCAGTCGACATTTCCCTCACCTTCCCCCAACAACAAGCAAAAAACATTTTCGGCACGTAAATAACATCATCATCATTAAAATAAAAATTTTAGTGGTTTTTAACATCTTTTTCAATTTAGACACGGTATATAATCAATGAAATACACAAGTCTGATGACGAGGGAAGCATCATTCCTCGAAAAGAGAATAAGGGATGCGCTGCCAAATCTTTGCTTTCTCTACATTTCAGTGTTAGAATGGCGAAAATTGAGTACGAGAGATTGAAAGACGATTGATTGAGAAGCAGTAATACAAAATTATAACATTGAAAAAAAAAGTTGTTGCGCCTATGCCCACATTTATTCTTTCCAAACGACGGGAATTATAGGAGACATCCCAACAAAAATGTATTCATTTTCCTTTACAGGTACCGTATTTTAATGATGGTTGGATAAATCGGTCTTGCGGACCACGACAGACGCATAAATCCGATAATTAAACCCCTTTTTTCTGAACGGATGAGTTTAAACATTTTTGGGTTTAATTTTTTTTTTTTCAATGATGATGCCGCCACAGTTGGGGAGATTGTTCTCGGAATTGCGGAGGCGGCATCAAGCGGTCCATTCGACAGTGCGACTCGCCGACGCCGAAACACGGCGGCAAGTATTGCGTGGGGCGCCGCGTGAGGTACCAATCGTGCGCCACTGAGGACTGTCCCGACGGCACCGTCAACGACGACGACTTCCGGGCCAAGCAATGCGCCGACTTCAACGACAGCAACTTCAACATCCAGGGCTTGCCGAAAAACGTGCAGTGGACCCCGAAATATTCCGGCAGTAAGTTTTCCAACAACAACAACAAAAATATTGCAATCGATTCACGAAGATCTCTTTTTTTTCAAGAAGGAAAATTTTATTTTCTCGAATGCCAATTTCCCCCGTTTTCAATTTCATCTGAAATTCGAGAGCTGCAGTGGAGTCTTCAAAACTTTTGTACGACGTCGCATTTTTTATTATATCTTAGGTTTGCAAACGAAATGCGTTGCTGATTTTGACCGAAGCATCTTTCAAATGTAAATTGTAAATTCCTTGAAAAAAATTTTTGAAGTTCAGGACACAACAGTTGAAAGTCTCACAATACTGTACAGTATATAGAATTTTTTTATGAAGTATATTATACAGTACTCAAAGATTCCATCCAAATTGTTCAATCAACTAAAACTTATCTGATTCCAGCAGGCCGAACACCTTGTACTTTAATTTGTATTTGTTAATTGTATTGTAATGTAATTTTTAGCATTGATATTTTCTTTTTTAATCTATTAGTGAGGGGAACAAAATGTATGCATGTACATCAGTTGTACATTTGTACATTTTGTGATGTTATTTAATGCCCCAAAACAGCTTATTTCTCTATTTTCCTCCTGATGTGATGGAATGTGTTAGTATGAATTTTGGTGGGGAGGGGAGGGAGTTCGGATGTGGGAACACTTTGATTGAAAGTGTGAACACTGAAAAGCAGAAAATAAAGTTTGTTCATCAATCAATATTGTAGTCAGACCTCTCTATATAAGTCAAACAAGAGACCAACAACAACAAAATGAGTTATGGAGGTTCTGAGATGAGATAACAAGCAATTTTGTTGTAGGAAAGAAAGATGAATTGGAGGAAATTTTAATTCATTAAATTCTGGGCCATAACTTGCTTCTTAAATTATACTTGATCTGATGCTGAACTTGGAGGCTAGGGTTATTAGCCCAAATAACCTCTTACACTCCATTTTGAAGCACATCTAGTTACTTATGTTTATCACATTAATCTTCCTTTTGTCAATACAATAATAGCTAAAATGCCTCTCTGAGACAATAGCTATGAACGTTTGAGGAGTAAAGTCTTGGATTCAGTCAAGCTTTTATAATGCATTGAAGTATTTCTACATGAATTCATTCAAGGTCTCATAAAAAAATGGGCATAGGTAAGCATTTGGGTTACAGAGATTCGAGTTATCGACGTTCAACAAAAAACAAAGGTTCGAGAAATTATCAATTTTCAAAAATTCCACGTGTTTACGCTTGACTCTGACATTTTTGAGCTTTCTCTCGGCAATTCCCCCCGAAAGAAAAAATTACAGCCATTTCATAAACATTATTGAGCTCATTGCTTTCCTTGATACTTTTTTGAATTTTTTTCCGCATTTTTTGTTTCAGTTGCTCCGAAGGACTCCTGTAAGCTATTTTGTCAAGTGGCCGGATCAACGGCTTATTACCTTCTGCAGGACAAAGTGATTGACGGGACGCCTTGCGGACCGGACACGAATGACATATGCGTGAATGGGATTTGCAGAGCAGCTGGCTGTGACCATGTGCTGAGATCCAATAAGAAGACTGGTGAGGACAAATTCTTTTAAAATATGAACCGTTTATCTTATTCAGTAAACCTAAAGCTTGTGTATAATCTATAATGTTATATCAACGTCTACGGAGAGTATAGTACAGTACAGTAGTACCAAAGAAAAATTTACCACCCGAGATAGCTTATTGATTGTCTCAAGAAAATTCAAGAGGAATTTCAAAAATTTAATGAGCAAATTCCTTAAACAAGATCATTGCGGTGAATTCGATTTTATTAACACGTTTTTATTAACTCGCTTTCTTGTCCATTTGTTTGTCCGGATCAAATTTTGCAACTCAAATTCGCTTACTTCCTGACTAGCTAGCAAGCTGAAACTTTCAGGATAGCTTAAAAACTGATGACAATGCAATCTTTTGTTAAAAGAAAAATTATAAGAATATTTTTTAAAAAGAATAAAATAATTATAGTAGATTAAAAAATTAATCTAAAAAACCACGTTTTCAAAAAGCAAAAAATAAGCTTAAACGTGGTGCGCATGGAGATTGTTGGGAAGAAGTGAAATACAAACAAAATAGATGCGCACCACGTTTAGGGTTATTTTTTGCTTTTTGAAAACGTAGTTTTTTAGATTAATTTTTAATCTACTAAATTTTTTACGTATTGCTTTTAGATTATTTTCTTCCAAACCAACGAATTTCTGGGCCAAATTGTAGTAATCGTTGAATGTTTTTCAATATGCGCACTTTTTTTTTGCTTGCTACAGGTTGCAAACTATTTGCAAGCTGCTTCAATATGATACTGTTTCACTTTATGAGAGGATGAATCAAATTGAAAGAAAATTTAGGCAGACTTTTATCGCATTTACTAGACTTTATCCATGCGAGAGAAAAATCGCGGAAAGGATATGAAAACGTGCTAATTTTAATTAAAGACAAGCATGTCTATGATTTTAAGTTCTCTATGCGTTGCTTTGAATACATCTTGAACATACTTTAATTTATCTGTAGAAAGTGATTACTAATTTTACATACAATTATCTGACTCTCATTTGTTTGGTTTCTCTTTCTGTGTGTGAAATCCTGTGATCATTTGTCTGAATGATTCAAAGACATGTGCGGGGTTTGTGGAGGCGACAATACGACTTGCCAAGTCATCACCGGCCACTTCAACGACGTGGAATACGGCTACAATCACGTCTTGCTGTTGCCAGCTGGAGCAGCAAACATTGACATCCGGCAACACGGTTACCAGGGTTCCAACAAGGACGACAACTACCTAGGTTTGTTTCTTGGTTTGTTTGTTTTTCCTTCTTCTTTATTGTAATTGTCGGGGGCAGTGTGGCCACCGCGACACAAGAAAAGAAAAAGAAGCTGTGGATCAATAAATTTAAAAATAGAAACACAGAATCAGCCAGGGACTGGGGCCAGGAATTCTTGGTAGAATCCCTAGTTACGATTGAAATGTATTCAACAATTGTCCCAAGTACAAGATTTAAAACTTTAGAATTATATTCACAATAAAATCACAAGATTGTAACAATCAAAATAAACCCCACAGCAAGCTCTGGACTGTTCAAAATGCACAACTGTTACCAATGACAGCTCAAGACAGACTGTTGATGTAATTGGGAATAAAAGGGGTTTTTATTAATTATTGTTACTGGCCTTGATCCAGCTCTCTGGCTGGAGATCAGAAGATTTTTAGAGGCATGGGATTGTCCAGGAAAATCTGAGTCAAAGATTACTCTGGGGACAGAAAGCTTTGGAAGAAGGTTCTCAAATTGTCCCCATTTTTCTGGTGCTCTAAATTCAGCCATTTTCTGAGTTTGTCCTTGGGTAATTTTTCAACCCAATTTACTCTAGCCTCAATTAATGAGGCACTCCTCACAGTGGCGGGGGCAGGTTCCCAACAGTAATCTAATGATCCAAAAGCATTGTTGAACTAGTGTTCCCAAAAATCTATGGTCAGCAGACTGGTGCTGGGGTCCACAAATGTTTCTTGACAGTCCACAAGAAATTTTCTCCAGCAAAATAAATTTGTAAAAACTTGGAATGAAATCTGTTATCTTTATCTGAAATTTCAGAAAGACATTGGCAATTGAAATTATCTGATGAAAAAATATAAGTTGGTTTTTGTCCTAATAATGTTGGAGACAAATTTCCACCTGCTGAAATAAATTATTTTAATTTTTCAGTATGAGAAACCTTTCTTCAAGCTCACCTTTCCAATTTTTTGAGACATTCCACAAAAGCTGCTTCATTAGTTCTTGAATGATTTTTTGCAAAGCATCAGACACTTTTTTTTAAATAGCTAGCCATAGAGTCTTTCGGTTTAGCGCTCTATATGAAGTGCTCAAAAAGGGGCAAAATTTTAAATGCAGGTGGTACCTTGCAATTCAACCTCCCTGAAAATTTGACTGTGGTTCAACCTCCTGCAATTTGACAATCCTGCAATTTGACAGTCAAATTTGTGGGGAGGTTGGCTTGCAACATGACCCTTACCTTGCAATTTGACCTGCTTTGGCCACTTTTTTTGCATTTTTGCATTGATATTTTTGAATCACACAAAGTGTCTCACAATTTAACCACTTTGCAATTCAACCCTAGTTTTTCAATGGATTAGGGTCAAATTGAAAGGTACCACCTGTACAACAGTACACATGAATTGTTTGCAAAAAATTGAATTAATTCTTCATGAAATATGCCATGTGGTTTCAAAAGCTTCATTTATTTTTTATTTTTACTTAGCATTAAGGGTTCCTGATCCGGGAGACGATTATCTGCTGAATGGGAAGTTTGTGGTCAGCATGTTTGCAAAGACACTGAAATACGGAGGAACCCAGATTGATTACTCGGGTTCAGGAGCAGTTACGGAGAGAATCAATTCCACTGGAAGACCATTGCACAAAGATTTGGTAGTTGAAGTGCTGACCGTGGGGAATTTGTACCCACCTGACATCCACTACAGCTACACCATCTCTGTGTCTGAGCTGACCAAGTACCGGAGGGTACTTGTTGGGGGATGGTCAGACTGCAGTCAAGTCTGTGATGGTTTGTTACATTCTTCATTTTTTTTAAATCCTGTGGCATCATTCCTTTGAATAGATTCTGAATTTCAAGTAAGTATGAAATCTATGATAATCATATTTGAAAGGATTCCCCACAGAAACTTGACTTGGAGTGTTTTCCAGTTTGGGAACTTGGCTGATGTAATTTATATGGACAATTTTAAAAATTGAAAGTATTTTCTGGCCAGATTATTTTAAATTTTCCTTATTCATAGATTAATAAATCCCCCTACCTGAGGGATGATGTGAAATCTCCTTGATATAGAGCAACAAAATAATTTGCATTTTTTTTTTCCTGCTGAAGAATTGCTCCTTTTCAAAATAGGAGAAAATTTGGGAGAAAAAGCTTGGTGCTTCTTTGTAAAGTACTTGAGAAACTACTGTACCAAAATATATTTTTTTACGAATCTTGACACTTTATGTCAGTGCCTATGTGAGATTCTTTTTTTATCTTTAAGAGACTTCATCTTTTTCTGAATAGGTCCAAAGATTACAGAATATGAGTGACCTTAATTTTGTCAGGGCACCTCAAATTTTTAATGATCCTCTAAATTCAGGGGACAAGAAAAAATTCATTGTAGAGAGAATATTTTTTAGATTACCTTTATTCAATAAATTCAGAACTTTATTGGAACAAAAATAATTTTGTTGGACCATTAAAGACAAAATATTTGTGCGGAGAGAATACACAATAGGAAGTTTCCTTGAGTGAGAGACTTCTGGCACAGTTTTCTTGTATTTTTTTTTACAGGAATAAGAGAGAAAACGGTTGGCTGTGTTAGAATGCCAGACAGAAAGCCAGTTCCTGATCTGAATTGCAAAGATTTACCATTTCCCGAAAGACCGAGTGAGCCTTGCAACACTCACTGCAAACTGAGGTAATGGATAATATTTTGGCAAAACAATCCTTGGAAACATATGGTATGTGATTTTATATTACCAGCTGGGAAGTAGTGCATAGATCAGAATGCAGTGCAAGGTGTGGGCCAGGTTTCAGGCGGTTGACTGTCAAATGTACGCAGATTTTCCAGGATTTCAGGGACACATTGCATGACAAGCACTGTGTACATTTGGAACATTTGAAACCGAGGGAAACTGAGGCTTGTGAGGGGGCTTGTGAAGATGTTCATTGGAGATTCAGTGACTGGAGTGATGTGAGTAACTCTGCAATTTCATTAAAACGTATATCCTGCAACCCAAGTATTTTAAAAGTAAATGCTTGTTTCCACGAATTCCCAGGGACACTTGAAAAATGTGCTTTGATTTTCAAAAAATGAAGATTGAGGTGAAATTTTTGGATCTAGGACAAATTGAGACAGATAATTGGAGACAAGGCTGATTTGAGACAGACATTTTTGGAGACAAGGGCAATTTCAGACAGGTACATTTAGAGACAGAGAATTTTGAGACAAGGATTATTTGAGACAGAGGAATTTCCTTGCTTTCATTCCTCTCTTGATCCATTGTAATACACTCTAATCCCCACTAAAAACATCAGAACTTCCTTTATCATTTTTTTCAAAATATTGGCAGAGGTAAACTGCACAAAATATTTTCTCATGGTCAAGAAAAATTATGCAAATTTCTATACGCAACACATTGTGAAGAAAAAAATCCTTAGCACACAAGTATTATATTGGAATATTTCTAACAAGACATATTTCAAATATTTAAATTTTTAAAAGAATACAAAATTTTTCCAATAGAAAGCATAAAGTTCCCAAAAATAGTCAAGGAAACTTTGGAAAACCAGAAAATTGAGTGTACTGCAGAAGAAAAAACTTGTGTGTGCAGAGTTATTTTGGGGATGTCTCCAATTTTTCCTGCCTCAAATTGTCCCTGCTGTCTCAAAATGTCCATGTCTCGAATTTTCCCAGTCTCCAAGAGTTTTCTAACGTTCTAACGTTCTCTCATTCTATCGCAAAACGTTCCAATAAATGCTGTATACAGCACTTGAAAAGGCCAAAAGATTTCGGAATGTGACTGACCTTGATTCTACGATGGCGATGATCTGTATGAGATTTCGTTTTCTGTCGGATTTCAGGATTTAATAATAACCTGTTGTGATCAATCACTAGTGTTCTTCGAGTTGCAACGGTGGCACACAAACCAGAACAGCTGAGTGTGTGGACGAATTGGACAGAATAGTTGAAGCAAAACTGTGCAATGATTCCGAAAAGGTCGTTTTGCGATCTTGTGGAAACGGTGATTGCCCTCATTGGGACGTTGGCAACTGGACACCGGTAAGAACACAATTTCCTTTTATATTGAAAAAAAAAACACTTCAGAATAAATAATCGGGGTAGGAAAAAAAATGTTTCTTGAGTAAAATACCCAACTGCGTATGAATACGGTTCAGTGTATATACATATTTTTTTGGAAAATATTTGTTGAAGTCCAATTGGCCAGAAATGGAATTCGAGTCGATCCGAATGCGTAGACGTACAGAACACCTGCTGAATGAATAGTTTCATTCGCGAGCTGATGGGTCCAAAAAAGCGTGAATATTCCTGGGATTCGTACATTATGAGCATATTATTCTGAAGTTGGCTTCTGAAGAAAGTAATCGAAAAATAATTTATTCCAGAGCATCTCTAAAAATCGTCAAAACAAGCGCGTTTCTGGTGGTGGAAAAGACACAAAACATTTTGCTGCAACGTTGCCAACCGCAATTTTTTTATGCATGAAAGTTTCAGACATTTCCTTTTTCTCGCAGATTAAAAAACATGTTCAAATACTCGAATGGTGCCAGCATTCTCTGTCTCATTTTTTTTATCACTTTTTCTTCTGATTAAAATTTCATAATTTCATGGGTACTACCCAAAATATTATCGTTTTTACGGGCCAGTAGCACGTGAATTGCCTCGTTGATATGGGGGGAAAAGTGATGGATTTTAGAGGAATTGCATGAATCTTTTGAAATGGGTCGTGAATTCGAGAGTGGCAATATTCTCGGGTTTTCCAATTTGATTATGAATGTCAGATCGAACGAGGGATCGTGTCATCATTTATATTTTTTGCCGTTCTTGTTGCTTGGTTCTTATTCTTACTGCGATGTCATATATTGGTGTTGTCTCCATCTTTTCCTTATTTATTTGGCGGTGATGCTGGAACGTTTTGATGTACTGTACTGTACAGTGGGACCCCGAGATGCGGACATAATTTGTGCTTGGACGTATCCCCATATTGCATCAACGTTTTCCCATAGATTTCGATGCAAACATATCAAATCGGTTCTCTTGTTCATCAAAAAGAAGGAATAAGTTACTCAAAAATTGAATAAAAAGTGCTTAACCTCAACTTCAAGATACAGAAAGCAACTGCATAGTATAAAATCATATAGAATCTGATCTTTTGGCATCAAAAGAGCTCAAACAGGAAAGAAAAGTGATAATTCCTGTTATACTGATGTGCACAGATGATAGAAGAAAATAAAATAAAAACTCTGAGAAAAGAAGCACAAAATGAGCCTGTTTTTTTTCAATTTTAAATAAGAAATAAAATTGTATTGAAATGTATTTTCAGTTTTTGTGAATGTAAATACGTAATTCAGTTTGTCCAAGAATTGTCAAAATAAAAAATTTAATGTTTCAATTTTTTGAAAAATGCTATAAAATTATGATTTGAGCAATTCTCCAGATGTTGGATCATAATTTTGTAAAGTTTCAAGTGCCCCCAAGTCAAACGGTCTATATTAATTCCAGTTATACACTGCACAGATGAAAGAGAAAAATGCTGGAAATTGAAGCACAAAATCAGCCAGTTTTTTTTTTAATGAGAGTAAAATTATTATGAAATATATTGTCAGCTTTTGTGAATAGAAATAGCTCAATTTGTTCGAGACATGTAAAAATTGATGAATAATTTGTTCAAGATTTTTCTAGAAAATGTTGATAGAGCTTTCCTATTTAGAGTGAGCCATTGTCTGCATGTTGGCTGGGCGGATTTCTGCAAGTTTCAATTGTCCCAAATTCAAATTGTCCATATTTGTTGGGGCTTACGCATATCAGGATCTCACTGTATATACAAGCAACAAAAAAATAAAAAAGGAATCTTGAGCTGCTGGGAAAGATTAAAAATTTTGGTTGCACGAGGGGAAACTCTGTTGGATGTCGCACACACTCATATCATGAATGAATGAATGCCCGTTCGTCGGGGGTGGGGGTGGGGACTGTCTGTTTCTTTCTATCGTCTGCAATTTTCATTGGATTTTCATTTTGCGGTCTGGGGGTTGTGTGTTGGGGGTCGATGAGAAGTGCATGATGATCCGCGGCGTGTGCCAGCACCAACGGCCCTACTGGTGCCAGGTGGACGGCAAAGCCGTGGCGGCCTCCTACTGCTTCGGGACGCCGCCGGTGCACAAGCAGCGCTGCCCGAAGCGCAAGTGCGGCCGCTGGCTGCCGGGGCCCTGGGAAGCGGTGAGTTGTCGCGATGAGAGAGAGAGAGAGAGAGACGTTGCAGTTGCAGTGCTGGTACCCTTCCCTCCCTCCCCTTTTTTTCTCTCTTGGGATCCCCCAAAAACCCGTATCATCACCCCCACAAATCCACGATATAATGAGTGCAAAATATATATATGTATAAGTAGGCTCCGGTACAACTCATTGCACCTTCACTTGCCGCACCAAAAGTTGCTTCGGCTACAGCTTGCCGCTGTCATCACTTGCCACTGCAACAACCTGCTGCAAGCCCAACTCACTGCAGAAATAACCTGCTGCTGATACAAGTTGCTGCACTTAAATGTAATATAGCAGCATGTTAGAGAGTGCACAAAACATAAGAGAGGTTAACTATTCATGGATAAATTCATGGAAACACTCTCCAAATATTCCATGAGTGCTCTTGAACTACGTGAACTCAACAAACTTTGCAAATTCTTGGTAATTTTTCATTGCAATGGTTTGGCACATTGCAATGAACCTTTAAAAATGCTATGCCATCCTTCAACTGAATTATTTGTTCTTGGAATGCCTTCCTCAACATGGCAGAAGGAATTCCAAGTATCAATTGGAAACAATGCTTTTTGCTGTTTGTTTATGTGTGCATGCAGGAATAAAGCCAAGATTACATTTAGTCATGCAAGATGGTCATTATTCATGTGTGCATGGCAAGTTATTTCAGTGGTGAGTTGTGTGTGAGGCAACTTTACTTGCCTTATTTATTCCAGCAAGTTGTAGCATTGGCCAGTTGTCTATGCAGCAAGAAATGACAGTGGCAAGTAAGGACAGCGGCAAGTCAGTTTTGGGGCAAGTAATGACAGCGGCAAGTCATAAGGGGTGCAGTGAGTTATGAGTGCAGGAACTTCTAGAGCATTGAGTTGTGTTGACACATTAAAAGTATACTGTAAAGCAATTGCTTTGGAAATCAACATTGTTACAGCTACCAATTAATACTGAAGAAAAAATATTTTAAAATAAATCTCATTATACATTTTGGGGATTTTTTGTTTTTTCTTTGCAGCTTTGCAATAGGAGTTACAGTGGGTACCTTGCAAAATTCAACCACCCTGCATTTGTCTGTCCCACAATTCAATAGTCAAATTTTCTGAGAGGTCAACTTCCAATTTGACCTCTGCTCTGAAATGTGACACACACAGAGATGCAAAACATCAAATATGATGTAGAGAACCTCCCCCTTTTTCTCTTAGGATCCCACAAAACCCATATCATCACCCCCACAATTCCCTAATATACAATACAATCAGTGTAAAAATATATACAGTACTGTATATCCATTGCTATGGAAATCAACACTGTTACAGCTACCAGGTAATACTCAAAAAATATCCAATAAAAACATATTACAATCCATCTCATTATAATTTGGGGTTTTTTTGCAGTTTTGCAATAGGAGTTACATGTGGTACTTTAGAATTCAATCACCCTGCATTTGTCCATCCCACAACTTGATGGTCAAATTTTTTGGGAGGTTGACTTGCAACTTGACCTCTGCCCTAAAATTTGGCGCACATAGAGATGCAAGACATCATATATGTTGTAGAAAACCTCCCCTTTTATCTCTTGGGAACCCCTTAAAATCTATATCATCACCCCCAAAAATCCATGATTAACAATACAATCAATACAAAAATATGTGTACTGTACTGTGTAGCAATGGATTTGCAAATCAGCACTGTTACAGCTTACGGGTGACATGTACAGAACAAGTAATAGAGGGAAAACAGATGTGAATGAAGAAAATTAGTTTGAATTAAATTTTTCTTCCATATGTTTTTCGCTCAAGTTTTAAAAGAAATGAGCACATTAGTAGAAAGACAGTTTTGATATAAGAGAGGTATACCCAAGAGTGCCCCTATTAATTTCATGGACCAAACAATCACATTGATCATCACAAACCAAAATTTGAATCATACCCTTCCATCATGCTCTCTAGCCTGTGAACCCAAACAAGAATTACCCTGCATCACTCTGCAAACCAATCTGCAATAAAACTCGGATAAAATTGGTCTCATTCGCATGTTGCCTGATTCGCTTCGTCATCTTCCCAAGCTTAGACTGTATCATTTGCACGATGGACCTTTCGTTTTCATGCATGGAATTTTTGCGCGTTTCCTCGTTTGCAAAATTGCTGCCTGTGCCTCTCCTCTGGTGATGGATGATGATTGGGAATGCATCCGTGTCTTTTCTTGTTCTAGCAAGAGCTGGAAATTAGATATCTGTCTTTTTGCATATTGGCAGATGCGCGAGCGGAAAATTAAGCGCGTGCAAAACAGCGCTTACACAAATGTGCAGGAACCAGTTTATTTTTAATTTTTATATCGGATGGAAAATTAGAGTATAGTATGCATAAACAGGTTATATGCGAAAAAAAGAGGAAATAAATACTGCATGACAAATTATTCCCTGTGCGAAAAATGCTCACTTCGCGGCTGAAAAATTATCTTTTGTCAAGCAGGTACAAGGATTAATTTTTTTTCTGTGCATCAAAAAATCGTTTAACTTGGAATTGTTCAATGATTAAATTACCAAAACGATGAACAAGAGTTTTTGAGCACCTAATATCTGAAGTTTTTTTCCGCATTTATTTCTCGTTTATTTTATGTTTTCTGTGGATGCGCTCTTTTCAAGTACCCGCTGTTTTCGTACGCGCTCAATTTTCCCGACATAGCATCATGAAGGGATGTTTCTGCTGTGTTTATTTATTTTTTTCCTTGGGTGATCGTAGGGTTAATACTTTTGCCGCAAGAATTAACTGGTGCGGAGAGAAAAAGACAATTCGGGAAATTTCAACGAACGATTAATTAATTAATTGCGTGTGGTATGTTTTTTTCTCTTCTTTTCCTCGCTTTTTTTCGTATTTTTTCCTCCAATTGGATTCTTCTCGCCGCCTTCATTCAAAATGGACGACGGAATGCAAAAAAAAAAAAAGCAGTGCAGTGTGACCTGTGGTGCTGGGATCAAAGTGCGAGTGGTGCATTGTCGCAGTGTGCGTGGCGACGTTTTGGACTCGGCGTTTTGCGATCCGCAGTCTGAGCCGTCCATGGTTGCCGAATGTCTGTTGTCGCCGTGTCCGGACGACGTGTTCCGCAACGACGTTTTCGGCGTGACGAAGCCGCAAGTGCCTCATTTGCCAAATTACCGCACCAACAGCCTCGGCAACTCTGTCTACAACTCCGTCCATGGCGTAAGACTTATTGCGTATGATTGTGCAGAATTATTTGAAAATTTTTTTTATCCCCTAGTGGGCGTGCTAATTTGAGAGAGATATAGGAAACCAATTCGGAAAAATCGTAAAAGCCACAAAAGAGGAAAATTCTGTGGGATATCTTTACGCCTGACTCAAATCCAGGGAACCTGAAACTTTTTCAAGATGAAATTTGCGTCAATCAGAGACAATAAAATTTAAAGAACTCGAGAAAAATCAATGGATTCGCGACTGAAAATAAATATTCCTTGTCTCACTCATCAGGTTCACCTAGAGATTATTTTTCTTGATCCTTCTGCGTCATTCTTAGGATACACAGTTGAACCTTGATCTTTTAGTCAAATACTGTACCTCCCTAGATTGAGTTTTTTAAAGTCCCTGTCTGAATTCCCTTAGAAATAGTGCATTTAAAATGTCTCTGAATCAAAGGCTTTCCTCCTTGAAATTCCATGACTCAAATTTTCTGGAGCCATTTTGGTTATTATTATTCCAAATACACGGAGAAGAGGAAAGCAATCGAATTTTAACTTGATGTGTTTCTAAATGAAGTGAAAGACTAATTGGGCAAATAAACTCTTGACTCCAAGTTCAGCATCCATGTCAACTCATTCAAGAAGCAATCTGAGGCTTAGAATATCACAAATTACAATTTCCTGCAATCCTTCTGTTTCTCCTGCAACAAAAATGCTTGTTTCCCCAACTCGAAATTTTTGATGGTACCTTGGAGCTTGACTTAAAGAAGTTTGACTGTAATTTCAAAATTTTCTGCTGAGAAGCATGAAAAACAAAACTGACGAATATTGCGTGAATCCAAACATACCAAGGTTTTTTGCTGCAACAAAAATGCCTGCTAGCAAAAACAGAAAAATGCTCTCACATCTAGATTATTGGGCACAAAAGGCCTCAATATAATTTGACGTCAAGTGATTTAAATAAAACAAGTTGATCAGTCTGGGACTGGACTGGGATTCCTTTTTGGAATTCCTACATTAAAGAGATAAACTGTATTTCACACAAATACAAATAAATGACTCAACAAGCTTGACTTGCAGGGAGTGATGGGAATAACTTGAATAATACAGTTGAACTGAATCTAATCTGATTAGGAAAAAGGGAGCAGCTTATGTATGACGATTAATAATTAACCTTCACAAGGTTTTACTTTAGAATCAGAGTGGGAAAAGTTATTGTTGAGGATTCTGTGGTGCCAGGATGTTCCTGGTACAGCGATTTTGAGGAGGGGGAATACTTTTACTTCCAGGAATTATTTTAGAGTATGTTAATGTACACAGGGTGCATGCCCAACGTAGATGAATGTATTTTATACTCTTACTTCTTCCCTGGGCAAAACGTGGGTAAAGGAAAAATATATTCTGTACTCAGGCGGGACAATGAAAAAAAAAGTCAAGGCACTACAGTGCAAAGGGAAGCAACGAAAGTTCAATTTAAAATTGATGTTTGTGTTTTCTTTCTTCTCCGTTTTCCTCGTAGGATGACGATGACAGCATCGACATCGTGAGTATAGAAACCAAGCCCATCCACGGCTACGACCAGCACAGACCACGGCTGAACAAGCCGTCGCCCAACTACGACACGACGTCGTCGAAACCATCGCCGCTGAACCCGCACCCTCATTCCTCGGAACCCAATAACAAGGGCCATCAGAAGCCCATCTACTTCCTGCCACCCCGGTACTCGCCCGTCGGCAACAAATACACGGGCGACGAGAATTCAGTGGGCGAACCCGGCGAGGACGATAGGTTCGACGACCGGAAGTCCGGTAAAGCAGAGGACCACGAGATTCTCGCTGAAGGCGGGGCTCACTGGGTTCTTGGGCCCTGGGGTCGGGTAAGTTATTCGATCAACGGTTTGAGGACTGTGTGCATGTGGGTGGGTGTGTGTGTGTTTTCTTTTTCAATGGTGCCCACTTATGAAAATTGATAACAAATTTCACCAGATTCCAGATTTATTTGGGAAAATTGTTTAAAGCCTATTTTTTCTCCGGGGCTTTAACTCTATATATAGTATAGGACTATGTTAAACATGTACAGTGAGGCCTCCACATGCGGACACCTCAGCCTGTGGACAATTTGACATAGGGACACTTATTTTCCCATAGAAGATTAATTTTAAAAAGGCCCGACATGAGGACACTGACTCAACCTAGGGACATTCTGTGATAAAATTGCAAATACATTTCAGGCCAAATTACAAGAAACAGATGTTTCCAACCATGAAATTGATGTAAGAAAAATTCTTGGGCATTTCTCTCACCAATTTTCCATCCATTTAGCTAATTTTAAAAAATCACCTCCAGCATAGAGGGGCTTCCTTCTCTCTTCTTCACTTGAATGTTATTTTTAAGGAGAATGCCAATATTTCTATGTACTGTTACAAGGTATCAGTATTCAATTCCCCAAATGTCCATATTGTGTTGAAATATATTGATTGAATCAGTTGCAATTGGGAGACCATTTTTTTTTTCATGGACTTACGGTGAGTATTTTGTACATAAAACACCAATTAAAAATTATATAATGTAAGTCCAATGGGAAATGACTTGGGGACATTTCCACTTAAGGACACTCTTGATGCACCAATTACGTCCACATCTCAGGGTCTCACTGTACTTTTGTTATCTGTTAATTCCTCTATTAACCCTGATTTCATAAACTTTTTCAAAAAGGGAGGATATGCACTGCCACACTTCTCGCAATTTAATGGATTTAAAAAAACATTCAAACAGTGAGATTAGCATAAGTGCACTGGCATTACATTTTAAACTAAAGTCGGGATTCATCTGGGGATTAACAGTTGCTAAGAAATCCCCAGTTCAGACTTTCTCCATCATTATCTCCAACAGGGATGATTGCTTCTCTAGCCAAAAATCAAATTCTAAGACCCATGGGCATCTTTTCAATGGAAGTACTTCCCAAGCCAGAGGAATGGAAAAAAAAACCTAGCTTTGACTGGGCTTTTTTTTTTTTTTAATGAGTGAGTCTAAGCTGGTGTGCTGAAGAAAAAAGATGGCAGGATTTTTTCTGGACTTCGCCTTCCACAAACACACAGTCGCCTGTTTTTTTGTTCAATTCAATCCTCACAGTCACAAGAACAAAATTGTAAAAAAAATTCCAACTCAGCTGCTCAAGTGGTCGATTCTTCAACAATCAACGTTTGAAAATGTTTTGTTTTTGCTTTGTGCGCAGTGTTCATCTAGCTGTGGTGGAGGATCCGAGCGCAGGATGGTGAGCTGCAAGTCGAAGAACGCAGGAAGGATCCTTCCGGACCACAAATGCTACGGAGTGGATCCCCCCGTTGTGACCCGGGCCTGCGGGCTCGACTCGTGTCCAGATTGGAAGACCGGGAACTGGTCCGAGTGCTCTGTCACTTGCGGTCAAGTGAGTCCAAATTCCTCATAATCGCAATATGTCATCATTAACACATCAACTGCCGAAATTTCCAACACATTTCCATCTTTCCTTGATTTTACTTTATTTATGGATTAAGTTTGGACGGATTCAAAGCCGAAATTTCGGCAAATATTTAAGGTCTCAACTTGATCCCTGAATAGGGCACAGTACATTCCACCCCTGTCCAACAGACTTAATTCATGCAACGGACAAGTCTGTAAGACAAAAAGTCCTTTAGATGAATTCAATTACATAAAAAATTGAAAATTTCAATTGTCAACACTAATTTTAAACCAAAAGAAGTCTGTTTGGCGGATTTTGTCTGATGGGCAGGAGGAAAAACTGCCTGCAAAGCTGGTCTGTTAGGCAAAAATCCCTTATGTGGGTGGTCTGTTAGGCGGGGGCCAATGTTTTTGCATCTGTTTTGATCAATCAAGCAACACAAATGCAATGAAGGTGTGCCAATATATTTAGACCTGACCAGACCTCAATAAAATGAAATAAATGCTAAAGTTTTGAATTGAGCTCCAGTATAAAGTATTTTTCTTCCTGTCCAAAAATCATGTGCCAATTTTCCAACAGAATCTGTGAGTTGGCTTAAAAAACATGTTCTTTCGTGCAATTCAAAATAGAAGAATTTTGTTGAATGAGGTGTCTGCTTGTATAGCTAACTTCTTTGCAGAGCATATGCATATTTTAAACTCTTTTAATAGCTTTTTGGGTGTGGCGCGAAAATCACCTGAGTCCCAAATGGGGCTCATGGCAGGATGGGTTTTTAGAAAAATAAAAATAAAGCATCTCGTTCATCTGTTTCTTATTTTTTCTTTTGGAAATGAATGAAAAAAATCAGGGCTATGAGGTGCGAAAAGTTGCCTGCATGTTGATGGAGCGGGAAGAAGTGGATTCGTCCAAGTGCTCCAAGTCGAGGCCGACGAACCAGAGGACTTGCAAAATGCCGCCATGTCTTTATTCTGGACAGCAAATCGTGCACACTGAGCATGAGCCAAATAAGGCGGATTCGCACCAATGGATCACTGGATCCTGGGGCGAGGTTTGTTGTTTTTTTTTCTTTCTGGTCAAAATTGTCGGAGTGGTCTACAGTGGTGTCCTGAGATGCGGACGTGATGGTTACTTGGACCTTGTCCTTGTCCCTATGTCGAAGTAGCCGTTTGTTGGATCACTTTTTCCCATGGTAGATTTCAATAGGCAGACATTTAATTGGTTCGAATGGTCATCCGAAATTGGGGACAAAGTCCACCAAAAAATGAATCCATTCTTTTCTCAACTTCAAGATTTTGAAAAATACCTGTGCAGAAGAAAACCACGCAAAATCTGATCTTCTGGCATCCTAAGGAGCTCAAGAAGCAAAGAACAAGGACAATTCTAAGTATCCCGAGCTCTTTTGATGGAAAAACGTTGACAGGCAAAGCACAAAATTAGCCTGTTTTTTTATCATAGAATAAATTAATTTCATGATGCATGTAATTTTTAAAATATAAATACTGTACCTCTATTTGTCCAAAAGATATAAAAATTTAGTAGAAGTAAAATTCAACTTTTCTGGAATTATTGGAAACGTTTCCATGTATCTTGAATCCTTGAGACGCTGTCTGGATGGAGTCAGATCATCCCAAGTCATACGTCCGTATGTCGGGTCCCACTGAATTTTTTCCTGTTATGTAATCTTTAACGGAGAGTAGCTGGACATCATCCATTAAAAATGGCTCATCTTAATTGCTTGAAGAGATTGTTCGTCAACCTTGCAAGAGATCATAGATATTGTTAGGAATGAATAATTTGACATGTCAAGTAGCTGAGATATGATGCCAATTAAGAATGCACAGTATTGTACTTAGATAGAAACACATGGAAGGGAGAAAAAATCTTCAAAGTACTTTATTTCATCAAGTACCACATGTCTTCAAGTAAGATAGGAATTTTGATGTTCATCGGGCAAATCCTGGGGAGGATTTGCCCGAAAAACCTATCTTTGCAACAACAACAAAACCGTTCCTTTTTCAAGAGAAGATCTGTTCAGCAAACATTTGCTTGACTATGAGTGCGTTGAAGGATGAAAACTAACTTATTGCATGAACAATTATCTGATAAAATAAAAAATTCCTTAGCAAAAATGGGCGAATTGTATTTACATTTGAATTATTTTATTTAAAATAGGAAATGAAGGCAAAATTGTTGACTCTTCCTGAAGAATTTGTGAATTTCATGTGATATGAATGTTAAATTTGACAAAATTGTTGTACATTGCTTAAATTTTGCGCTACGTTTGCTCAGTACATTGGTGGAACTTTCAGCCAATGAATTGCTGAAATGTGCATTTTTTTCCCTGACAACGATATAATTCAGTTTCCCAATGGAAGAAGAGATTTCATTTATTTCTTTGGACATTGCTCATAATACTATACTGAAATTGTATGAAAATTGTGCAGCTTCAAGTTTCAATGGGTTATTTTGTAATTTTCCAGTGCTCCAACACTTGTGGTGGAGGAATGAAGCTGAGGCAGGTGGTTTGTCAGGATGAGGAAGGCAGAAGCAGTGAGAAGTGCAATTTGCAGACCAAACCCAGGGAAACCTTGCACTGCAATAGTGATCCATGCCCTGCTTGGAATTTTGGAGATTGGGGATCAGTAAGTATCAAGTAGCATTTCCTTCAACAATTATTTACATCATTTCTTCTGCAGAACTGAATTGCTCACATAATATGAATCTTTTTTAAATTGTAGTGCAATAACACCTGCAATGGTGGCTACCAAATGAGACAAGTGCAATGCCAAAATCATTTGGGGATGCATTTACCAGACCACAACTGTGATCTTCTGCACAGACCAAAGCCCATGCAGACATGCAATATTCATGCCTGTCCTGATGAAAACACTGCAGCCTTGAACTATGAGTGGAGAAACAGTTCTTGGGGGAAGGTATATCTTCAATCATTATCCATTTGATAAAAACAAGTAATGGTACAAAATAAAAAAGACTTCCCATGTTCATTATTGTGGTTTAAACCAGTGTTCCCCAACCTGTGGACAACAGACCTGTGCTTGCCTGCTGAATTTTTTGCCATTCAGTGGGAGATTTTCTTCAGCATAATATATTTACTGAAGGTGGCAATGAAGTCTGTCATCTTTAAAAGAAAAATTTTAAAATAGAATGGCACTTGAAATTATCTGATAAAAATAAAAGTTGGCTTTTCTCTGGTAATACTATTTTGGAAACATTTTCACTTGCTTGAATAAATGATTTTAATTTCTCTTTCTGCTGAGAAACCTTTCTTCAAGCCCTCCTATATAATTTTGAAAGACATTCCGTTGCAGCTGCTTCATTGGTGCTTAGCATAACTTATGCAGAGAAGAAAAAACTTTTCAAATACCTGCCATAAAGTCTTTCAAGCAAAACTATTTTTCAAAATAGCGTATTTTTGTGCACTCCCTCTGTGACAGGATTTTTGCCAACACTAGGGTATTGAACTGATTCTCAAATCTCCTCCCAACAAAACTATTTTTTTCTCACTCTTACAGTGCAGCAGGACCTGCAACAGAGGGGTTAAGACGAGGATGGTGTATTGTGTGGAAAAACGGAACCCTTCAGTTGTGGTTCCGGACCAAATGTGCTCCAGCCACAAGAAACCAAAGACAGTTCGAGGTTGTGCTAAAAAGCCTTGTCCGTATTCCTGGGAAGTCTCAGAATGGTCAGAAGTAAGTTTCCCATCTTTTTTTTTTAATAGTATCACATGCATACATTTACATATGAGGGCTGTCCCAGTTGAAGGCGGTCTAAGATATTTCTAGAGTAATTATGACTGCTGAAAACCCATTTTAGAATTTAGCCCATGATGATATGTACTGGGAATTTCTTCAAGTTTTACAAACAAGATTTCAATTTACTGCATGACCATGTAAGTGAAAATATTCCAGGTCGACCCAGATTGCTCCACCCGTGTCACAGTGTGCTAAAAATCTGTCGGCCTAGCTAAAAAATTGAAATTGAAATTTAATTTGGTTTGAATCATTGTCTTCTCTACATCTCGTGAACTTCTCAAATTGTTTTGAGGATTATTTTCTTCACAACAAATGAAAAATGCAAAACTTACGTCTGCCTCTTCAATAGCAAGGGTTCTACCTCTAATATTTCTGTTACATTTTGCCTTGTTTTATAAGTATAGGTAAAATTTGCGATACAGCCTATACCTTTATTACAGCGAAGTTTTCATTTGTATTTCTTCTCTTTTGTTCTAACTAATTTGAAAAGGGACAAAAGCTGAAAACTACAGTACTTACGTTCTTTGAACTCGTAGATGTCATGTCAATGAACTTACCACTCCTGGAAATTCATTTGTGAATCTCATTTTGTTTATTTTCCCAGAAAGAAATTTTTTTTTCCTTGAGGCCAGTTACATCTACCTTCACTATACTCGTCAATGAACTTGGAGTACATTAACTCAAAGTTGGAATGGTTATAATTTGTTGAATTACTATACAGCAGGGAAACTTTTCTGCGTCAATACGGAGGTATAAACTTTAAAAAATAAAACCTGCCAGCAAATCGAACAGAGGACCTCAGATTTTCTTAAATTTGAACTACACATTAAATGAGCTGAAAAGATGCTGAACTTAATTCAAAGCAATAGTTTAATTGCCCTTATAGGAAGTTTCTTTCTGAAAATCATCAAATTACGCGTCAGGGAGAAATCTGAGAAACCAAGAACAGTGTTCCTTGAAGTCCATTGCAGATTCTAAATGTTCTAAAGATCTAAACAAAAATAAATTCCACGGAATTCAGGCTGTAAAACCCCTGGTCAAAACTAGGCTGATAAACTGGCTCCTTTCTCTGTAAGAAGTGTGCCTTTGCAACCTTTAATCTCCCACATTATATTTTTATTTCATTTCTCTTTTCGGGGTTCTCAGAATGATAGCCCAAGGATCTCCAGAAATGCATGTTATTCATGTTGAGGGAAATCCAAGTTACTGAAGTCTCGTAAAGATTTTCACTTAAAGAAATCCCAGCAGTGAATAAAGAAAAATTTGACCTGTAGCAAGTTTTTTTGAATTCTAGGGTGGTTTGAGCTATTGAAGGCCAAGAAACTGTAAACCAAATTTTATTTTAAAAATACTTTCTGGCCCCTATAGGAGTTCGTTGTTGTAAGATTTTATGGGGTCCTCAAGATAATAGCCCAAGGATCTCCAAAAATGCATGTTATTCAGGTTGGGGGAAATCCAAGTTACTGAGGTCACCTGAAGATTTTACTTGAAGAAATTCAGTAGTAAATAAAGCAGTAAATAAAGGGAAAATTGACATTCAGGGAGATTTTTTAATTACTATATTGGGAGATTGGAGCTATTATTTGAACTCCGAAGAACTGTGTAACGCATTTTTCTTTTAAAAATATATATACCTTTCGGGCACAAGGAGTTTGTTGTAACCAGATTTTCTGTCCATTATAGTGCAGTCACACTTGTGGTCCCGGAATCCAGTATCGCACTGTGAAGTGCCACCGGGTGAACCACTATGGTTGGGTCGACCCTGATCCCGTCAACCGTGGTTGCAATGACACCTTCAGGCCCAGAAATGTTCAAGACTGCAATTTGAGTGATTGCAACGCAGCTTACCATTGGGTTACCACTGAGTGGAAGGAGGTGAGCATATAAACCCTTTTAAACAACAACCCAGAATTCCAGGGTTTCTTCAATGAAGTAAATGTCCGTGTGTGTTGATGTTTATAGTGCTCTGAAAAATGTGGACACAGAGCGAAACAACGAAGAAGGGTCCGATGCGTGGACAGGGCCGGAAACAAAAAGCCCAAGATTTTTTGCGAAAGGTCCAGACGACCGTCCAGAAAACGACCATGTAATCGACGACCATGTGAGACTACTGAAGTCACTCATTTAATTTTTTTTTGGCTGAGTCAGGGATGAATTGTGACTTGCCATTTTGATAACCTTTCTCTGCGTGTGTTTTTGTTTTGTTTTACCAGGCGGGTATTACAGTTGTTCGGAAGTGAAACGCTTGCAGAACGTGACGATGGATGGTGATCAGATTTTGACTGTTGGCGGTCGTAATGCTACTTTCTATTGCTATGGCATGAGTACCGACAGTCCAGCTGAGTACTTGACGCTGATCACCGGTGAACGGGAAAATTATGCAGAAATTTACAACAAAAGGTTCGATGAACAGAAAATAGCAAAAAATGCAGTAAAATATGAAGGAATGAATGAATGAACAGAACACTTTATTTGCCGCTTTTCTGCGTTCACAAGGTTCAATCAATATTTCCACATCCAAACCCCCTTCCCACTCAACCTAAATCAACTCAAAGACATTTAATCACTTCAGTGCAGGAAACACAGCACAAATGGATAACGAAAATAAAAGAGAATACAATCCACAAAATATAACATGACATCTGACATGTATGCATATACACACCCATTCCTTATTCCCTGACATTGAAAACAAAATACCAGTAACAATTAATTTAAAGCACAATGTCTTCAGCTTGTTTCTGTTTCTGCAGTAAAATATTGGTATGACACACTTTTTGGGACTCCAGAAAGTGTTTGTTACAATGAATAATTTGTTTTAACGAGATTTTTACTGACTGAAGAAAATCTTCACATCAGACCGGCTGCCTATAAAATCAATTGAATCTCGCTTCTTGCCATTTTTAAGATTTTTTAATATTGTTCAAAAGATCTTCTGAAAAATCATTTAGATCATGCATTCCATCAGTTGCCCCAATATCTTCATTATTTTTTTGAGGATGATGTTTTTGTACTAAATTTGGAAGCCTATTTCTGTTCGATTAAAGCATCCATCAATCCACAAAACCATCAGTCAGTCACAATTTTTATTGGAAATTCCATATTGCTTGCCCTACGCAGGAAATTTCTACCTGGAGAATCTATATAGATAACTCCTTAAAAAATTGTTTATAAGTTTTTATAATTATAAACTTAGTTCTACAAGACTGCTCTAAACGTTTACAGCTTTATATGGACTTTTTGCCGAGATCTGAGAACAAGTTTGTTTTTCTGAAAAATGTGTTGCAACTCTTGCAAGGCCATTTCTTAATGAGATTTTATTGTATTTTTTCAAGGAAGTTTGTAAATAGTTTATCATTTTTCAAAAAATTGTTGTCAAATGTGATAAGATTACGTGAAGAGAATTATGACGCGAAGCAAACACAAATTATGAGCCCATTGAGGTTTGAAAATTCTTTAAACACGCTTTCAGCATTTGATGTGCAAACCTCTCCTGGTTGATGTTAAATTAAAATCCAGTAAAATTATATTTTAAGGAATTTTTCATGATGGACAGCAAATTTTGCAGGGTCGAAGCAGTTTCCTCGTGGTAACCACGTAATAAAAGATTTTCTCCAAAGAAAATATCTTGCCTTTAATACAGTATATAACTATGACAAATATTTTGCCTGATTATATGGACCACTAGATTTTTTTAATTGACAGAGAGGTGGAAAAAATCCTTTGAAAAACGAGGAAATGTGGAACATTCACACAGAAATTCGCAGTTTTATTTTCATGGAATGCGCAGAGGATCGCGAAAGAGAAAGTCCATGCTGAAATTCAGGAATCATTTCGAAAGAGTTGTGAAGCGCCCACAAAATTAACGCAAAAAAGAAGGAACTTTTGAGCTGTTCAAACAGAAATTAGCAACTTTTTAAATGAAATACCCAGCGAATCGCGAAGCAGAAATTCAGAGGAATCATTATGACGACGCTCCCGCAAAGAATGAGAAACACAGCTTCAAAAAAAAAGAAGTGCGCTAATCTGAATTTTTGAAAAGTCATTTTGGCTCATTTCGGCAGATTAATTCAGCCGGAAACTTGTCCTGATGGCGGGAATCGACGTGAAAATTGCGCTTGTTTCGAAGAAGACGACAAAAAGCAGCGTGCTGGGTTGACTGTGTTCTCTCGCATTCGTGTAAACGTCACTTCTCTTCGAGTCAACAGTAAGTATTGTATTTCATTCACGTCATGCTGCGTTGATTTTTTTTTCATTTGTTGTTTTCATATAAAGAGAATGGATTAGAATTTGATGAGACTTTTGCTGTGGTACCTCGGAGAAAAGACATTTAGTCCGTAATCCAGAGAGTTGGTTCGTGTCACGTGGGATTCTGTGTCAAGTTACATGGAATGGGTCAAGGTTTTTAAACCCCGCCAATTTTTTCTTGTTTATCTGAGTAATTTCGGGCTGCATGGAATTAAAATTTGATAAAACATAGTGTAGATTTATTCCCATTTTCCCACAATTTTTCATCAAGACGAAAGTACTGTCAACAATTCCGAGGGTTTATTATTTTTATCGCTTGATTTTCGACCGTTTTTTTTTCACAGTATCTCGCATGAAATCTCGTTCAAAAATATTGAGATAATATATATTTTTGGCGAATTTATGAAAACGAACTTCTTTTCTTCGTCGGAACAGCGCACGATTTCGTGTTCACGAGGCAGTTCAGTGGAGAAAGAATACCACTGGGGGAAGCAGGGGATTGCTATTCGTCTGCCAATTGTCCACAAGGAAGGTTCAGCATAAATTTGGCAGGCACGGGGTTCCGAGTGGCACCGCATACATCCTGGGTTGGTCGAGGCAACCGGGCCTCGCACTGGATCAACCGCCTCGAGGTCCTGACTTTTTCTCAATTATTTCTCAAAACAATAATCATGTAATCCTTTCATTGCGTAAAAGAGGATTGGTAATTATGAACAAATTTGCGTATCTGTTGGTGGACCATTTTCCAAGTATTCATCACCCGTTTCCCCGCAAGATTCCAGGCTTGAAAAAGCAAAAAAAGGCAATATCATGATTTTTCTCAGAAAATGTTACTTTGGTATGATGTTGTACTGTATATTGACATTACATATATTTTTGAAATAGTGTGGAGTGCTTGTATTTCAGTCGTCAATTTAGTCAACTCAGGGCCAACTGAGTTTTCTATTCAAACATCACTACATTTCCCCTTTTTTGAGGCTTCCTTTCATTGCATGAAATAGGATTGGTAATTATGAAAAAATTGCGTATCTGTTGTGGACCATTGTTCAGGTATTCATCATCATTTTCTCTGTAAGATTCCAGGCTTGAAAAAGCAAAAAAAAAAGACAATACAGTATGATGATTTTTCTCAAAAAATTTTACTTTGGGTCGTGATTTTTTTTCTCTCGGAATTTATTTATTTTTTGAATGTCGTTGCAATGATGTTTTATATTTGTTTGTGCGTTAGAGTGGAGTGGTTGTATTTTGTGTTGTAAAATATGACTATTATTCGCAGGACCACCAGAAGATCCAGGGCAGGTGTGGCGGGTATTGCGGGACTTGCAGCCCGGACCTGCAGACCGGGCTGAAGCTGGACGTGATGCCGCCTTGACGACCGCGTCGATCGCCGACGTTCACTCATCGACACCCCCGTCGCCGTCGTCGTCGTCGTCGTCGTCGTCCTCCGCAAGTGTTCATCGTCATTGTCGCCGTCGACCGCCGCCTTCCCGTCCCGTCCCTTTTTTTTTTTTTTTAACCTCTCGCGGTTCCTTTCAGCGGAAAGTTTATCCACATCTTGGAACCGAAGAACCGCCCAATTTTTCCCCCGAAAAAAACAAGGGACGCCACTATATTTAGCTCGCCCGCGAACCGGCTCTGCGATTCGAAACCCCGGCGAGTGTTGTTGATCTCCGACGAAGCAAGCCTGACCCCTGCTGGAAACTTGACGTCGAATCACGACCCCAGAAAAAAGAAAAAAACTCCCAATTTTTGTTGTTGTTGTTGACTGTTCTAACAACAAGCTATTTCGCTTTTCGTTTAAAAAATTTTTCCAGCCACGAAGCGTTTTCTGACAATACGAGACTCCCGCTTTTTTTTTTTTTTAATTAGATAATCTGAAGCAGCAACTAAAGTTTCTACTGCTGACATGTTTCCAGTGAAAATTTCAATCATACTTGGCATTTTTCTAAATCTATGTTACTTCGTTCAATTCTGTTTGAATAATTGATGTTTTAAACATTTTATTCAAGAATTTTTTATTCTATCCTCGCGTGACTATGGTCAAATATTTACAATATTGCTTTTGTTGCAGTATTTCATGTCCTCAGTTATGGTGGGGAAGCATGAACCATGATTCATTTGAAATCTTTCTGATAAGTTCATTTCCAGGGAAAAAAAAATTACAATCAGGAGTTTTTATAAGCAGTGGGATTTTCATTCAGCACTTCAAATGTATAACAGTGAAGAGGAAAGGGCTAATTTTTTTGCGTACCTATTTATGCGATATTCACTCAAGCACAAACTTTCCCTGCTAATTTTCAAGAAGCCCTCTGGCATTTTCCTTGAGAAGCAACTGTAATTATTCGACCCCTTTTTCTTGAGTATTTATTTTTATTTAAGCTATTGTAATTCTTGAATTATTAAAAATCTTCGCTAAAATGTGGATTGCACATTTTAAGTATTATGAAGTTTTCGCCTATTTTGCAGCTGTAAACTTGCCAACAAAAATGTTTTCATGTAAAATTAAGTTTCTTTTTTTCTACAAATTAAGTATAAAGTTTATTATTGCTTTGTTCCCCTGTAAAGACAACTGTTCTTGTAGGAAGTTTTGTGACTAGATTATGCATCAGCATCAGATTAATGCAAACAATGACGAAAGAGATGGCTAAAGTTTTAAAAAATGACGTGCTGTTGGAACAAAAAAACTTTCTTATTGAGCTTGACAGGTGAATGAAATTTTTTACAGCAAGATCTGGAAAAAAATGAACTCTTTCGAAACGTTTTGAAAAGCGAAATAGCTTGTGAAGTTGTGCCACTAACGCATTGTTCCGCCTGCGCTGGATGTTTTTTGTAAGATTTATATTCTAAGAACTAAAACAAGCAAAAAAAATCACGAGGTGAATGTGTTTGGATGAGTAAAAGGGACATTTCTCTATATATATTAACAATACTTTGTATAACGAAAAAGGGGGGGGTGGCGGGTCGCTGCTGCTGTTGAGAATATCGGCAGTTAGTCGTTGTTATTCAGACTTTTGATTCCTCTTTTTTTTTTATTGTTCTCCCTCCTTTTTAATGTTTGCGCAAAAACAGATGAGAACTCACTCGTCGAGTACAAAGTTTTAGTGGAGCGAGGAAACGTTACAAGTGAAACTCGAACGCGTGGATATTTGCAGCAGTCTTTTCCGAAAGTCGGGTTCCATTTCGAAAAGGGTTTTTCTTTTCGAAATTTCCTTGGGGCTTTGTTTTCAATGGAAAAAGTTCAGTATTTGGGGTGGATTCTTCTCAAAATCCGGAATGCCGTACCTTTATAGTGAATCGTGAGCCACATTTAACTCTTCGACGCCGTGAAAGACATCGGAGTTCAATTTTTGACAAGAGGATTTGAGCGCGTCCGAAAACATCGTCTGCTCAATTAAAACAGCGAGCAAAAAATTAGCATGAATTATGAAAATAAATTTAAAATTTATGAGCTCAACTCGAACGAAATCTCTGACGACGATGGATTTAGCTTCTGAAAATATCTTGTTCCAAACAAAATGAGCAATGGATGGATATAATTTTCGACCCGATGTATTTTTCCGTGCTTGAATTGTTTTTATGTACTCTTCAAGTTTTTAACTCTGGTGGACATGCGTTGTTTTGGCAAAAAGCGATATTTTGGGACGCGCTCAAATGTGTTTGATTCCACGAAGATTATTTATTGGACGTTGAATTCATCCTCGTATTTGGCAGCTTAATATATTTGAAACTTCGTAGGACCTAGGTACTACTTTCTAGGATCCGAGTACTGTTATTCGGCTTTCAATCCTACTGTTGCTTTTACGCGAAAAATTGTTGATTTTTTTCGTTTTCGAAGAAATGCTGAGAGTTTCGGCGATTTCAAAGGTGCTGGAAATGCTTTACGGGGAACTGTTCGTTTCTATTCCGAATGATTCTTTTTCTCGTGCTTTTTTTTTGTTCCAAGTGCAAATTACGAAAAAACGAATGATGCACTGCCAAAAAAAAAAAGATATTTGCGAAGACAAGAATTGATGCCATGCGTGAATATGGTTCTTCAATCGAGACGGAAGTGAAAAATTTGCCGAAATCGCCGAACGGCGGGGAAAAAAAAAGTTTTTCAACACTGCCGTGTTTTTGTCAAACTCGACTGCCATCTTTTTTTTCAATCGTTCTTGTCGTTTCCGGACGTTTTGGCCTTTTTGTTTTTGCTATTAACGGAGTCGCTTGTCCAGGTGATGTAACGTTGTGCTTTTTGAGGAAAAGATTGCGTTGCTAATGAATGAAGAAAAGGTATTTCTATGTACGGAAATGCTATTCATTTATTTTTCCTGATCGATTCTCGATAGCGAAAATATTTACACCAATTTTTTTTTTTTTTTGCATCACACAAATTTTATCATACTAGTAAGTTTTCTCTGCATTGAACCACCTTGAGAGAATTTCTTGCATTTTTCTGTGTGAACATCAACTGATATGGAAAATAATTTCGTAATGATTTTACGCACCTATTGGAAATATTCGAAAGCATGTCTCGTATTTCTAAAATAAATTATGAAAAGGAAACTATGTACTGCATGGATCTAAGACAAATTGGGATAGAAAATTTGATACTGGGCCAATTTGAGACAGAAACTTTTGGAGACAGGGACAATTTGAGATGGATACATTTTGAGACAGAAACTTTTGGAGACAGGGACACTTTGAGACAGATATATTTTGAGACAGAGGTTATTTGAGACCGAGGCACATTCAAAATGACATCAGATGTAGGGGAATAAGGCTTTTCTTGTTTTAAAAAGCCCTATTCCCTGTTACACTTCTGAAAATACTCTTGGAAAAACCAAGATTCTTCCAAGGGCAAAAACTCAAGTGTAAAAATGTTTTTAATGTGGTTTTTACAGAGTTGGGAGGGGGGAAATCTTGGGAAAACAAGAAAATTAAGTGTAAAATAAAATTTTTTAAATGTTCAGAGTTGCTTTGAGACTGTCTCATATTGTCCCTGCCTCATATTGTCCTTGTCTTTGAATGTCCTTGTCTCCAATTGTCCATGTCTCTAAATCGCCCTTTCTCAAATTTTCCATGTCTCAAATTGGCCCTGTCTCAAATTTTCTGTCTGGATTTGTCAAATTTCAATTTGTCCATATCCCATCAGAAAACTTTTTAAAAGTGAAATTCAGAATCTCTGCATTGTTCTTCACTGCTGAAGAAAAGACAGATTCCTTAACTTATTTCCAATCAAAACACATCAGGGTTATTATCTGGTCTTATTTTTGGGGAAGCAGGGCAATTGATTTGTTAAGCATTAGTCAAACTTGAGAACGAGATCTTGTATTTGTTTTCTCGGACCAAGAAAAAGTGAGAAGGGGATTTTTCTCTTCACTGACAAAAAGCACGCATTTAAACTGAAATGTATGAAGCATTTTTTGTTGTGAAATGCGTTCCTTCAACTTTCCTTGCGTTTCTCATCCGTGAAAAACAGTCGAGGTGATGCTGCTCACGTTTCCGAAGATTTTAGTTCGTCGTCCTGCTTTAAAAAAAAAATGTCTCGGAATCTTGACTAAAGTTTCAGGTCACAACTTCCTTGCAAAGTTGAAAACTTTCCAGCGGAAACTCACAAAATATACTTTAAATTCTAAATTTCTAATCAGGTCAACGTTAATAGAAATTTTAATTACTTTTTCACAAACATGACAAAGGGGAACTCTTTCTCTCTCTCTCTCTCTCTCTCTCTCTCTCTCTCTCTCTCTCTCTCTCTCTCTCTCTCTCTCTCTATCTATCTATCTATCTATCTATCTATCTATCTATAGAACATTTTGTCTATAATATTTTCTCTTTATAACGAATTTTTGTGGTCCAACAATGTACTCTCGCCACGTTATGCGGGGTTGTGTACAACAAAATTTTCTCTTGAGAGGAATTTTCTTCTGGTCCCTTGAGATTCGTTGTAAAGAGAGTCCACCTGTATTACACTTCATTCAAGTTTTTAGATCATTTTTTCACACCAAACCTTTTCTTTGCATGCTCTTTTATGATAAATGCGAAATTTGGTCGTATCAAGACTCCTTCGTTTTCGGGACAAATGTTTATTTTTCACTTGCACTAGCTAGTCGAAATCATATTTCAAACGAAAAACTGAACACAAAATGGTCAAAAAGATTTCCAATTAATAGACCAAAAACTCCCAGTCAAGCTCGATACGCTTTTTACAAGTGAACGGAGAATCCGCTGAGGGAATTCACAAAATATACCTGAGTTACAGGAAACAAATTCACATAAATTGAGAAAGTCTTACAAGTCTCAGCCCGAAATATTGACTTCCAAAATGATTGAGAAATGCGCGCATATTTGATGCGGATATAAGTGACAATAATTATCGAGCCTGAATCTGGAAAAGTTCACGTCAACTTTAGGAGCAGCTAAATTCACAATTAAATATTTAAAAACAAAAAACAAGTCCAACGCTTCACTCTATTAGAAGAACTAATATTTTTAAATTCTTTTTTTTCTGTTCTCATAACGGGTTTCTACTTCAAACTAAAATTAACAGACAAATTCCTAAACCAATTAAATAAATGTTTGATTAAATATTCCTTATTCGAAAAAATAACGTTAGACATTCATGAAAAATCGCAATAAAAATGTATCCTATGTACAGACTTGTTTTTAACTGCAAAAACGTTTTAGAAACGTTAAAGTAAAATCTCGCTACAACGAACTCACAGGGACCTGAGAAAATTTTCGTTTCAAAGAAATATTCACAGCATTGATGATACTCGTCATGCTTTCAACACATTTCAGACTGAAATTTTTGGTGTAAATGAATTAAAAGTACAGTATATAGGGAACGTGCGCCAGGACACACTGAGCGACGTGGCCAAGCATATTTATGTACAGCTCTCTGGTTTTCCTGACGACTCTTTCCCGTCTGCCTTCCTCATTTTTCCCCGCCTTCATTTATTCCCCCCCCCCCCCCCCCCCCAAGTCGAAGCAGAGATAGATAGAAAGAGAGTTTCAGCGTCGACTCCGGGTTGGTTCGTGCTGGAAATCAGAACGAAATCATGTTCGGATGCTTCTAGATTTCACAGAAGCATGGAAGAAGAAGAAATGAAGGCGGGGAAAAATGAGGAAGGCAGACGGGAAAGAGTCGTCAGGAAAACCAGAGAGCTGTACATAAATATGCTTGGCCACGTCGCTCAGTGTGTCCTGGCGCACGTTCCCTATATACTGTACCAGACTTAAGGAGACCAACAATATGAAATACAGTGAGCCCCCAACATGCGGACACCTCAACATGGGGACAATGCGACATAGGCACATTTATTTTTCAATAAAAAATTATTAAAAATGCCCAACATATGGACACTGACTCAACATGAGGACATTGCATGATAAAATTGCCAATAAATTGTAGGAAAATTGACTTTTATTAGGCTTAATTGCAAGAAACATATATTTCCAACCCTGAGATCTATGCAAGAAAAACTCTTTGGTACTTTTCCGGGCACTTTCCCTGTCCATCCATCTGGCTAAATTAAAAAAATCACCTATAGCACAGATGGACCACCTTAATTGTCTCTTTGTGACTTGGATGCTATTTTTACAGATGCCAACATTTCAATGAACTGTGCAGCAGTATACTATTCAATGCTCCAAATGATCTTATTGGGTTGAAAAGATATTCACTGAATGAAATTCAATGGGCAAAAAAAAATTTTCATGGAATTCTGAAGAATATTTCTTCCACAAAACACCAATTGAATGTGAGTTAAGGGAAAACAAGACTTGACTTTGGGACAAATCAACTTCAGAACACTCTTGATGCACCAATTATGTCCACATCTGGGGGCTCACTGCAAACTGTTGAATGTAATGTGGAAAACTTACACCACTATATGAGACTCAATTTTGATCACCTTTCAGCACCGAAAAATGGGTTTTATGTCGGTTATTCCAGGGACGGCCATGAAGTCAATCATGCTCAGATATGCCAAGTTCTTCGTCTTTCCGTCAAAAAAAAACGATGGAAACTTATCACTTCCATGCACAAAAAAAGAATAAAAATGATATTTTCCTAAATAAAATGCAATTCTCAACTCAACACACATTACATCTGTAGAAATCCTTTTTTGTTGATGAAAGAGCCTTGATGCATTAGAAACGTTTCCCAGAGTAAGTCTGGTGAAAGGAACAATTTTTTAAAGTGCATCTCATCTCAGAATTTGAGATTATTTCATGTTCGATTAGATCAGGCTATTTTGAGTTAGAGTACTCTTAGCTTGGTTCAGCTGGATTAATTTAAGGCTGATCAGATCGGATTAAGTTAAGCAACAAAAGTTTAGGTAGGATTTGGATACAGTGCGTTAGTCACAGGTTATATGCTAGATAAAGTTTTTAAGTCCCACTTTCAACTTTTTATTTACTTACTCTCGTTTTATAAAAATTATTTGTGCACTTTAACTCGTCAAATACAGAAGTTGACAGGCGCACAAATTATTACAAGTTATTAAAACCGACGCAATAAATCATCAAAAAGATTTCCAGAGAAAGCAAATACTCAAGTCAATCTCAGTAAACGAGAAAATTTCTCGAAATCTTTTTTTTTCTGCTAACCCTCAACATTTCAGAATTATAACTGAATTCTGAATTGCAGCCGTTCTTCTTATGACGCAGGAAACGTACATTTTCACATGAAGCAATTCAATTTTGCGTTTTCCTGGAAATTTTTATAGCGTTAAACCTTTGCCTTACTTGCTTCCTTGAAATTCCGTCTAATTCCAAGGTTTGGTATACAAGGGTCTTGACAAAATTTCATGCAATCATTCAAAAGATGTCATACAATTGAGCTAAAAAAAATTTATTCTTTAGGGAAAACATATTCTTTGGCCCAAAAAAAATCAGTCCTAGCTGTTTCACAAGTTGTTTTAATGTTATGCAAAATTCACCTTAGCAGAGTTTTGCTCTCCACTGAAAAGATAAGGCGCCCTTCTTGCAGTTTTTTTTTTTTTTTTTTTTATCCNCTTGCAGTTTTTTTTTTTTTTTTTTAGCCCAGCTTTTCCCTCAGAATTCTTGAAATCAACGTGGCATTAATTCCAAGGGTTGCCTCCAGGTCTTCCTAGGTAATTCCACCATTTTCAATGACAGCCTTCTTCACAGCCGCCAAAGTGGCGGCCAATGTGGCGGCTGTCGATGAAAATGACGGAATTGCTTGCAAAGATCTGGAGGCAACCCTTAGAAAAAATGCCACGTTCATTTCAAAAATTCTGAGGGAAAAGCTGGGCTACAAAAAAAAAACTGCAGGAAGGGCGCCTCATCTTTTGAGTGGAGAGCAAAACTCTGCTAAGGTGAATTTTGCATAACATTAAAAAAAATTGTCCAAGAGGACTGATTTTTTTTTAGCCAAAGAATATGTTTTCCCTAAGGAATAATTTTTTTCAGCTCAATTGTACGACATCTTTTGAATTATTGCATGGAACTTTTGTCAAGAGACTCAAGACCCTCGTATATTCAGTGAAGTAAAATTTACGTTATCCTCAGTTTGTAAATTATCATTTCATGCACGTTTTCATGGGTGAACAGCAAGAAGGGCAAAATATATTTCCCAACACTTCGAAAATGTTCATGACTTGTTTGAATTTTCGGTTTGGTCTGAACCATCTAAGAAAAAACAATCTTTTGAACAGTACGACTTCTCGTGATTGCAAAACAAGCAATTAATCCACTGAAGACGATTCTCGCTATCTTTGATGTTTAAGTACAGTGCGTTGAACCTATACGAACAGTACTGTATATAAGAAGTGAAAGGCTTTTTAATCGCAAAAAAGGGATCGGTATCAAAGTCAACATTTAATTTGTTTCGTCCATTTAATTCCGCCTGGTTTATTTTCAGTCTTTTCTATGGTGATGATTTCCGCTCAGATCAGAAAACAAGTTTTTATAAAATTCAAAACCCAAATCACCAAGCAACAACCAACAATCTTGCAAGTAAAGTATAAAGTTTCTAGTTTCTATGAAGTTATGATTTAGGTTATGATGTCCTTGTAAAGATATACATTAGATCAGTGTTTCCCAACCTTTTTTGGCCCATGGACAAAAAAAACAATTTTGTGGACCAGCAAATTCCCAGAAACAGTTTTGCACAACTGCAAGGTTTCACAGAATTTTTTCAGACTCACAAAACTTTTGCTTGAAAGATTTTATGGACAGAATTTAAAAGTTTTTGCTATTTTGAAAAAATTGAGTTAAGGACCAATGAAGCAGCTATAGCTGAATGTCACCTAAAAATCTGAAGGGTGTGCTTGAAGAAAGGTTTCTCAGAATGAAAAATTTAAATAATTTATTTCTGCATGTGAAATTTGGTCCAAAAGGTTGTTAGGAGAAAAGGCGACTTTTACTTCCATCAAAGAATTTCGACTGTAATTGTTTTCCTGAAATTTTAAGGAAAAATAGCAGACTTAACCCCTACTTTTGATGAATTTATTATACAGTACTAAACATTTTCCTCAGACTGGCAAAAACTTCTGCAGACTGGCAGTGGTCTGCAGACCACAGGTTGGGGAATGTACGGTTTTATTCAGGAAGAAAGAGAATCTGGAGCAAGCCGTACACCTTGCAAGTACTTATTGAGGATAATTTAAGTTGACAAGATTTTTAGTTTGGTACTTATAAGTCAGGAATTAAAAGACAATTCTTTGAAGATAAGTAAGATATGAAGAAAATAAATTCAACACAGCAATTGGCCGGTGCGCAAACCGACCAGGGATTCTCTCCCAAAAAGCGCAAGCCTTTGTTCAAATCATTCAACAGAAAGTAGATAAGCAAGACACAAAATATGCACAACAGTTTCCCGCAGTAAAAAATATTCACAACAGTTTTTCACAGAGTTTTTGGGTTTTTCCGCAAAGTACAAGATTCACGACACAACAAAAACGCTTCAACGGCAAAATTTGGACTGTGTCGTCAGCACCAAAATCAGGGGTTTTTAAGCTAGAAAATCGACAGGGAGGGTTGGGTAATATCGTTGGAGAGCCCCAGACATTGGGTAATGAAAAAATACCAGGTGCTGGTGTTTTTCAGTTTGTGTATTAGGTTAGTAGTTAATTTTTGAGAGACCGGGTGGCTTTTATGATTTTGCTGAACCTTACAAGGCTGAATTTTCCCCCCCTTGTCCTTGAGTAACCCCTTTTCCGGAAGGGGTTGCTCAGGATGATGCAAATAAAAAGGGCGTGAATTTTTTCAAAAATTTGGAGTTGTTTCTGGGTCCAAGTCTGGTGAGGATCTTGGTTGGGAGTTGGATGTGGAATTTTGTCCATCAGGCTTCTGACTTGGAGATTCTTGCTGGAGGGCTTGATCCTTGAGTGTGCTCTTAGTTTTTTGAAACAGACCCTTGTTTTTGTTTTAAGGTAAGAATTTTGGGGTAGCTAATCCCAGAATTCCTATTGCTTTTTAGTTTGCTTCAAAGACCAGATTTGTGCAGGTCAAGTATAGTTCCATTAACTTTGATGACCTGGTTCTCAGGTCGTTTTTTGGTTTCTTCTCCACCTTGTGGACCTGATCAGGTTGTATGCCTTAGCTGGCCAAAGAAGTGTTTTTTGATGAGTGTGGTGGCGCCCAAAAGTGGTTTATCAAAAAAGTGTTTCTTCAGAAGAGTCAGTGCCAATGTTCTCGTGATCAGATCATCTTAGAGGAGGAGGTGTTTTTCATTTCTCCTCTTTTCTTTGATGATTGATTATAAGCATAGGGGGAGTGCAACTTGGGCTTACCAGAAATGGTTTTTTGAGCCCCCCCCCCCCCTATGGTTTTTCTCTGCAGTGTGTTATTATTTCTGCTTTCTGTGTTTTAGAGAACTTCAAGTTTGAAACGAATTCATTCCGTTAAGCAAATCAGAAAAGCAAATTTCTTTTGAGACAATGTCTGAGTCAGATAAGATTACGGAGCCATTTATTGGGGAGGAAGAACCAAATGAGTCATATAGTGAAGTTTTGGAGGACCAAGGGGAGGTTTCTCAGCTCCCGATCCTTCTTCAGGAATCGGAGGATGAGGAAGAGGTGTCTGAAGGTAGATATATATATATATTTAGGAAGAAACTGAGTTGCAAGAATAAAAACCTTTGTCTGGTTTATTTTTTTTTACTTAGCTGAGCATCAAGAGGATCTTAAGGGATTGGGGGAAGCGTCGTTAGATCAAAGTCAGGCGGAACCAGAGGTGGTGGTAAAGCTGCCAAAATCGGCAGAAAAAATTGCTGAGAAGCTCTGATCTTTATCAGAGGAAGGTCTGCAGCGAATGGGTGATTTTTTGCCCTTTCTTGAGGTGGAAACAAATGCAAAGATTGGGCGGGATGGGTAAAAAGTAGAACTGGAGCGTCTGAAGACGAAATCACAGCAATATGCCGAAAATATCTTGAGTCAAAGGCGAGTCCTTCAGGCTATTATGGCAGAAAAGAAACAACTAGAGGAGCAAAGATGAGAATTGGAGGAAAGTCAAGAGACTTTGAAGGTACTTAAGGAAAGGGAGGAAAACCAAAATGCGATTCTAGAAGCTTCTCTGACAAATCAACTGGAGAGGCATGCTAGTGTGTTTCAAGGGGCATTGAGGGGTATCAATGAACTTTATTTGGCTGAAGGATTAGCAGTAACTGCAGTTGCAAGAGGTAAAAATATCAGAGATGGCCCAGTAATTGGGAAATAATTAATAATTGTTTGTTTTTTAATTTGCATAGCCTTCCCAGCTGGGAATCTTCAAACGTGGTCGACAGGGTTGACCAAGATTCATTTTGGTAGCCCTCAGGCTATAAAAGAATGTTGGATGAAGGAGGCGGTGGAGGCCTCAAAAGAACGTACAAATAACAAATGCGCAATTACAGAGTTATTAAGCATGTTGAAAGGACCAGAAGTGGCAGGAGGGAAACGTCCAAGGACCTCCACAAATATCGAAGAGATAGATTTGACAGAAGGGTGTGAGTCAGGAGGAAAAAATGCAATGTAGTTACAAGTAGCTACAGTACAGGTGGATAAAAAGAGGTTTGCCCTTCCTAAAGGGACTGTAGCCCGGCCTTTGTCACTGCCAGGGGTATCTAGTGCAAGTGATTTTAAGGCAAATACCGAGGAAGATTTCCTTGAAATCCTCGAACCATGTGAGTTTTTATCAGACTGAAGGCAATTAGAATAAATACTGAGAGCTTCCTTCTTTTTGCGTTCTTTTCAGGGAATACATTCCACCCTTTCAAGGCAAGCTCTTATGAGCCGGCGGATCCTTTAACGTACAAGAAAAATGTGTTTAGGCGGATGGCGATTGATCCGCATAAATTGGAGAAATTTCCTCTTTATGTCCTCCCAGTACCTGGGTGTGTTGTTCGAGATATGAATTATGGAACTCCAGCACACAAGTTATCTGGCCCAGGATTAAAAGTGAAACAAAGGGCCCATTTGTATTGATTTTAGGGACGTCGTTAACCATGCCCTGGAGGCTGGCCCCTGGACATTGGACTTTTTGCAACAACATCAGGCCTGAAAAGGCGTCAACTCGGCCTATGTTTGATTTTGAACATTTATTGGAGGGAAGAGGCATTGAAATTTTTCAGGTACAAGAGAAAGGGAAGAAGGAATGGAAAGAGAGAAGATGAGAAAATAAATGTATACAAAATATGATGAGCAAATGTTTTCCCTTTTCTTTTTTCTTTTTAGTACTTGCTGAGTGGCTGGAGTGCCCTGGTGGGTTCTGGACAAGTGGTTAGCCCTGTGGCTATTATAATGAGGGTTTACAGAGATCTGAATTTGGATTTGTCCTTTAAGTTCACCCACATTTTTGTACAAGTGGGAACCAATGATTTAAAAAATCTAACAGATCCAGGTGCCACAAGGTACCCAAATTTTGGGCATTTTCTGCAGGCCTTATATGGCTATTATGACGAGTTAAATAAGGTTTTTAATGCGCCAGTGTTGGCTTTGGGGGCTTCTGCCCCTCCTGCATTGGGTCCTGGCTGCAACACGTACCTTACGGAGCCAATGGACTTGGATGTTCAGGGAGTTCCCCTAATTCCTCTAAGGTACAAGGGGACCCCAATTTATGATCAAAGGAGCCAGGATTTGGCG